TAAGGTATAGCGACTGGAGGAATATCGATCTGCAGAAATGATAAACAACTTCGACATAGCTGTAGGAATTAAGTCAAGAAGGCATCCTCTCACAAGCCCAAATCTTCGGAGAAAATGTTATTTTATGTGATCTCTTGGAATTGAAACCATTTGCAATCAACAATACGGTATGTGATCACTTTCATAAAGGTTTCTTCACAGATATATCATCAGATACATTAGCAACATTATAAACAAATTGTCGCTGCATTTGATGACTATAGCTAAACAAACACAAGAGAAACATTCACCAAGCACGTACCAGTGGACAACACATCAGAAGATGAAGAGGAATTATGACTGTGAATACTGTATTCTGTAACACTTGCACGAATAAGCAACAATGAAATGTATGGCTGTAGCACAGGCTACCAAGACTACCCTAGCTTGAAAGGATTAATAGATGCACAATTTGCACTTGTCCTATATTATAATGCAACCATTCCAATTGAGGTTAGTGTCACAGACAATAGTTAAATGTACAATTGAACGCTAAAAAAGATCCTATTTTAACACATCAATAGCCTCAAGGGAATACAAATTAAATTGGTATTCATAATTTTTGAGGTTTAAACTTATTGAAAACTATCATTATTCCCATTATTCATTTAGCACTCATATTATTGTACATCTGACTATTGTCTGTGACATGTTTAATTGAAATAGCTGTATGGTTACAGTATACTGTATATATACATATATATTCAATTTGGAATTTTGTTCTGGCACTGCTGTATGGGTTTTTGTACTGTGCATGAAGTAAATTGAGCTTATATATGCAAATAATGACATATATATGAGAGAGTGCAACTTGTGCCCACTTTAAAAAGACTGAGTTCAACAAAATTCACATTTGTGATTAATTCTGTATTCATTTGGTACAAAGTCAAGAATATTTCACAGGCCCAAAAATATTTGTTTAATCAGGTAATAGCATTGCCTTTTCATATCGAAACTACGCTCAACACATAAACATTGTCATTGTGTTTTGCATACACTACAGCATAAATTGGTCTGCAAATGTCCGCCAAGGCATTAATATCAGTGCTTGTATCTGAATGCCTTTTCGTAAAAGATATTCTTTCGCTCAGAATTGCAACCAACTCAAAGCAATTATTCAAGCCAAGTGATTCTTTTATGTGCATTCGGTGAAGTTTATATGCTGTAGCAGTCATGCAATAACGACTGGTACGTTATTAACACACAATATACTACGTTTGGCATAAAGTGAACAAAATTGATCATGAGATAACAATATAATGGATTGAAAAGTAACATGTAGAATTAGTTTTGTCTTTTGGTCAATTTCAGCTACATCGCAATCAATCTCTTCGTTGTCACACTTTAATGGCTGCTGAAAAACATTTATTGCTGATACTCTGAGTTTTATCGCACATAATTTTCGAGCTGGATTGTAACGAGCAGCATTACTCATTTACACAAACGCCATGAGTTGAACATTCTTCTAACGCTCTTTTAGCGAAAAGCATCAAAGGCAAAAGCTGGTAAATCAGCGACTCGCCATATTACCGGTTGGAAAAATTGCCAGTATATACACACCAAAGGACAGCTTTTCCAAGCAAATAACCTGCTTGGGCTTCAAAATAGTGTTTGCATACAAAATATTTACAATAGAAAAATGCAGAAAAATAAGAAAAATAATACATTTTGAATGTTTTTGCATATTACAAGAAGTCACTTCTCATAGCTTTACAGTCACTCCTTGGCGGGCCTTGCAAACACAACATTTAACCGGAAGTTGTAAATTACAAGATATCACATTTTAACCACCCTCCCCTAGGACCGCTTGTTGCCCTAATTTTTAGGAGCTCACGTGACCAGAGGGAACCAGGGTCTTTGCTGTAGCGCCGTGCGGAAGTAAAAGACCCTGGCTTGCGAGGTTGCCCTGGTCCTTGGTGTTTAAATTAAAGTGACACAAAGACCCAATTATGGCTTACAGTGTTTGTACTATTTTGGTCATTCTGAGAAGAAATGTCATGAAAATCTTAAGTTGATCCACATTTTTACTTTCAAAGATGCCGGCTATGAAGTTACTAGATCAATTGGGAATTATTTTGCTTATAATATAAAACATAAAGTTAATCAAGACTAGGTTTTAAAGGTACATTGCATGTCTTATCAGAAACACCCAAACAATTATTACACCCGGTTCTCTTTTAAAATATAGGGTCTACTGTGGGCGGAGCAGGATGCAGCAAACCCTCCCCAGCCACATTGTCAACCTCTTCTGTGAAATGGATTGCCCCCACCCCTAGCGCGAAAGTCCCCTTCTGTACAAATCCTCTGCAGAGGCCTTGTTGACCAGAAAAAATTAATTGAATGTCAGTAGAAAATCATAGGCACTACCTGGTAATTAGTCATTAGAAGGACGAGGCCAGCAGCTGAGAGCATAAATATTCCAGGAAAAATCAACATTTCCTCGCCTGTATGCCACGAAAACAAAAGAAGAGATGCACACAATTAGCGTTACGAAAATAAGTACACACCACTACATCCGGGCTGCTTTTAGTCCATGATTTCATTAAAATATATATTAAGATTGGGCATGAAAAGCTGCCAGGAAAAATAACTCGGAAAAATAACTTAAAATAGCGGTATAAATACCTTTCTGTGCTAGAAGTAAAAATATGAATGCCAACCCAAAAAGCAAACTGCAAAGGAAAGAAAACATTCATATTTTTAAGACTTACTGAGTATGTTTTTTTCAAAAGCATCAAGGGCAGCAATCCTGAAAGAGATGTGCCCCTGACAATTTACAACGTCCTTTCAGTTGTAGATAATCTGACAATTTTATAAAAATTTTGCAGTTGGGAAATATAGAATAAACTTTAATGTAAATTTTCTGTTGAAGTGCTGCACACAGTGATAACTAAAGAGTCACGCGGATGAGGATGACACCCTCAATACACTACTAAAAGCTTTCTTAACATTTCGTGATAAATTACGTCCATTTGATCAGATTTCATAATCTATTACATCCGCATCTCCCTTTTGGAATGGTCCGTCGGTTTGAGAAAGAACGCAAAGTTAAGCACGGTTTTCAATGTTGAATGACAAATATCAAAAGAATTGGTATTTATTAAAGGAGGAACGTGTGTGTGAATTATTTGCACTCGTTATGATGTTAACGTATAATAAACACTCTTCAAACACTCATTAATAATTCATAAGCTTATTGGCAAATCATATCAACCATAATATGTCACGTGCAGTTGCTTTAAACCTGACAAAACACTCCTAATTATTATTCTTTATATAAAGAATACTAATCAGGCAGTACCTATTGTAGTCGTGTCCTCATTAGTATTCTTTATATAAAGAATACTAGTGAGGCAGTATATCTATTGAATTTATAGTCGTGTTTGAAGCCGTTTAATAAACTCGCAGTTAACGTACCAAGGTACCTATTTATCAATTTCAAAGAAATAATCAAAACATTACTTCATTTCTTCAAAATACATATATGTTATTTACCAGCTGTGAAGACAGTACTGAAAAAAAATTTTCCCCGTGGTCTGATAGCGGCCCGAGGCCGATGAACGCTTCTGAGGCCGCAAAGGAAATAGTTTTTCACTATATGCACCAACCTAAATGGTAAATAACTTGTATATTTTTTGTTTTATGGTTCATAGTTATAATGAAATTCCAATTAAATTCCGGTATTGCGCGGCACATTTGAGATCAGTTGCGTTTGTTACTTACTTATACTTTCGTACAAGCATGGCTGCCAAAGTGCCAACCTGCATGCTAAATTGACGCGACGGAAACTGGATAAAGAGTCTTTAGTTTCAGTGCATATATAGATGCTTTTCTACTCAACAAGACAATAGAGAAGATACACCAATTAAAAATACTTACCATTCATGGTATGAACCAGCTTGACAAATGCTTTTTGACAGGCAATTACAAATTTTAGTTGCCGAAAACATTTGGTTTATTACAACACTTACAACAAAAATTTGATCGAATCAGGCCCAGGAATAATGCTTTAACTACAGGTACCGTTTAATTATATGAGGTTTTTTTTTATTTTTTATGTTTAAAGAGAAGTTGTATGTTGTAGTATTCATATTTAAACGCGTATATGTTTCGAAGAATAGCTGAGTAATAATACTGTATGTGGAGCATTTGAACCGAAACATGTAGCACTGGCCAGTGTTTTTACGATGTTTATATTTGTTTTCTTCGCATTTTGGTGACAGTGGCCTTTTATGTTTCTAAGAGGACTTATGTTATGGTAAATCACAATTGCATGGCAATAATGTACATGCGGATGGGAAATACCGAAGAAGATTGTGATCGTTATCAGCCAACTTATAAATGAAACCAAACCTCACTGAAAATACACGATCTGAAAGGCCAGGTTATAAGATGGAGGTGCATGATCTCGATTCATAACGATTACAATTAAAAACAATAGTCACAAACATTTTACCCCATCCATGTCTACTAAAAAGAGGGGTCTAAATTTCACAATTTTATTACTTCCTGCTTCTGGGCGCCACCCTTCGCAAATTTTCGGGCACTCTATAATTGAGACTCGGGTGAATTTGCCCAATGTAATAACAAAAAAGGTTATGGCCATTTATTGGCATAAAAACAGTAACGGCCTCCCCGTCTCTGGATACCCGGTCACTCCCCAGTTACGCCACTGTTTTTATTGATGATTGACGGTTATTGCAATTGTGAATGAGATAACCATCATGTCAAGTAAGGACATTAAACCTTGTTATTGCGTAAATATATGTACAGAGCAGGTTGTCGATGGTAAAAGGTGGGGGATTATATCTAATAAAGGATAAGGTGACCGCGCTTGATCCAGAACAGATCGAAATTTACTAGGTTTTTTCACGTAAACAACGCGACCAGCTGAATGAGTAAAGAAAGAAAGTCGGAAAACACCGAATCAATTGGTGAACTTGCATCTTTATCATAGCAGAGAGTGGATGTATTGCAGCATCTGTTGTGAATGTTTGTAATACGAGTGAAAAAAATAGAACATCTTGATAGGTAGGCCTAAGTGAAAAAAGTTTACAAGAAAAGAGGGTGAACATGAGAGAGAAGCATATGACGAAAGGTTATACATGAAGAAGACAGATGGATGAAGAGGTCTAAAAAGCGTTAGATATTTTACGAGAAGACCAAAGTAAGAATAGCAAGTTAATTTAAAGAGCATTATTTGAAAACGAACTGAAATCTTTAGCGTTGGAGAATGAAAAAAGAAAGAAACACAAATGAGTGAAGAAGGAAACAGTTGAAGCCATGCACCAAGGTGTTTTTGAAATGTGAGATTTGAAAGAGGATACATCATCTTGAATAGCACACGATATGGAAATTGTTGGAACTAGAAAGAAAACTAAATGGAGGTTTAAGAAAGATTCCAGAGTAAGGAACTAAAATTTGTGAAGTTAAAAACCACGAATGTTTAAATGTAAAACTGATCCAAGGAAGACAAAAGCAATCTTCAAACAACAAAAGTAAAAGATCGAAACTAGGACATGGAATTGCCCTTGATTAGGCAATTGAAAGCAATGAAACGGAGGAGTTTTTATCATTCACATGGCGTGTCCAATCGAGGCACATAGAAACGATAATTCGCGAAGGAATGTCAGGAGACTAATACTACATATATTACATTAACATGTGGTTAGAGTTCGAAAACTGGACTTTGTACCTCAGTTGGTTAGAGCGCTGCACCGGAATCTCAGGGCTGCAGCTTCGATTCCTGCGGGAGAACGCTTAGTTGGATTTTCGCATCGGTTTCAGGTTAGGTGTAATCAATGTATATAAAATTTACAGACGATAATTTTCATCCACAAACCCTTCACAATTACCCCATCGAGTGATATACCAATAAAATAATATATGCATTGAACCACAGAAAATCTAATCCCAAGGGCGGTGCCACGAAATTGCTTTTCTAGGCATTTTTCGCACAACGGCCCATGCCCTATTGTATTCAAGCGCTTTCATGTACTTTCATGTAGATCGTTTGTGTATGGCGTTTTTTTTTTAATTATTCAAAATATCTGGTCTTACTCGCAAGCACGTGCCGCACACTATACTTGGCCAATAAAGAGCACCCGTGGCCGGATACACTTCGATATCACGTGCATAGGCCAATAGGGTACAAGCATATCATTGTTTTGACATTTTACTATTGTATTTCAGGTAGGGATTAGCTCAGAGTCGGACTAGAAATTTAAATACGTAATAAAAGACGACAATTTGAAGATACAAGCTTGGGAGATATTGTCACTGAATCGAGCGGTGATATTGTTGTCTTCATAGCATTCACCAAACCAAAGATATGACTGGGATATGTCGGTAAGGAGTAAATTTACTGCATTAAATTACTCGCAGATTAAAAATTATATAGTTAAAAGCATATACCTACCCATTGTTTTTGTCATTTTCTAGAAATCATAAAAAAGAGATATGAGAGTGTTAAGTTCCCATGGCTGCCACCAATTTCGTAGAACTTCAGGTAAGAACAATATAAAACAAAATTATCAAACAATAGTAGTAATATAGGTACCGATCGGGCCGGATTTTTGAGGAGGAGGAGTGAGGAGGAGGAGTGAGGAGAAATGAGGAGGAGGAGTGAGGAGAAATGAGGAGGAGGAGTGAGGAGAAATGAGGAGGAGGAGTGAGGAGGAGGAGTGAGGAGAAATGAGGAGGAGGAGTGAGGAGGAGTAGTGACGTCACTCATTAACATACGTCATAATTGTATGCAATGACGTCACGCGGGCGAGCTTAAACACGATCGGGCGAAACTTGCTGACTACGCATTTTTTAGCGTCCCCCACGTTTATGATACAATGGAGGGATTAGGATTGGCTTACTATGATTGGTTGTTTGATTTAACGAGCGTCTGTATAAAATCGACAAGCGTTTTGTAACAAGCATAGTTCTGCATTAGTTCTACGTCAGTCATGGAGTGTCTACATGGAAAAGCTGCTGCCTCTACAACTACAAACAATGGTACATTTTGGTTTTGTGGGGAAAAACCAAGCTGTGAGTTCTTTTGCCCGGATGAAAATTGTTATATGTATACGAGAGCTGTAGCTGCGTTTCGTGCAAGTGGTTCTATACATCCGGAATGTCCTACACATCAGAAATATACCAAGTTATGTGTGGTCAAAGACACAATGAAAGATAACTACGGACGACCCTTCTTCGTATGTTCTGAGCGAAAGAATCCCTGCAAGTTCTGGCAATGGGGAGACGTGTTCGAAGGGCCAAGACCGTTATGTCAACATGGAATGGTGTGCTGTGAACGAAAAGTTAAGAAAGATGGTCCGAATCAAAACCGTCTGTTTTACTGCTGTCCGAAGGACGAATCTTGTGGTTTCTTCGAATGGAAGCAACAAGGCCCTCGGGTGACCAACACTGGCATCGTGCTCTTCAGTAATCCACTACAATACCAGTACATGATTGAAGAAACAGGAGAGACATTTAATAGTTCTAAATCTAACACTAAGGAAGCCTATGATGAATTTCGTAGATTTGGTTTAACAAGTGAACTTGATAAAATAGACCTCTTGTAATAATAATACGTTGCTAGTTAATTAATGTAAATTTGCATATATTTACTGAAATAAATACTGTGTGTCTCATTTGTTGTTCAATCGTTGTGGTGAGAGTATCATGGATATTAACATAGATATAATTTTTGATGAGTTGAAACGAAATGGAATTGATATTGATATGCAAACTTTATCGTTTCATATAAATACAATTCTCGACCGCCATCGAGATCTATATCGTGCAGTGAATGCTCGTGATCTAAACCTTGACCAAATCTACAGAGAGATCAATGTAACAAACTTTGGTTGTATCATTGCCTATTTAGCTTTGGTATGTGTACAAAATGATAGTGAGGAATCTATTCGTCACAATGTACAAAAAAACATCGAGGCATGTCGAATTTTTACTATTCCCAAACATAAACGAAGTAAACGTCCAATTTTAATAACACTCTCACTCACACTGATAGCTTTATATATCAGTCTATAATTACTGGCTGTTTCATTTTGTTCAAACCTCTGAAGAGTAAGGATGCGTTGCTGTAAAGGTTTACCACAAATCTCTCTTCGAAACATTTTTCGAAAAGTACGCTGTATTTCTGCTTGCTGTGGTGGAAAAATTGTAATTCAAGCCTCAGACATCGATGGCGGAGAAATATCTAAGCCAGATCTATTACGATCCAGAAAGCCCCGCAAGTTTTGGTGGCGTAGATTCCGTTTATCGCGCCGTGAAAAACGAAGGGAAATATGAGATATCGCGGAATAAAATACGCCAATGGTTACAAAAGCAAGATGCCTATTCATTGCATAAACCTGTGAGATATCGCTTCAGGCGTAACCGTATTATAGTTGGAGCCATGGATGATGAGTGGGAGGCAGACTTAGTCATTATGGATTCATTAAGTCAACAGAATAATGGGTACAAGTACGTTTTAACTGTTATTGATGTACTCAGCAAATATGCGTGGGTTGAAGCGATAAAAGCAAAAACTGGGAACAATCTTGTCAAAGCCTTTGAGAAAATAATCAAGAAAGGCCGTAAACCGAAAATGTTTCACACTGATAAGGGAACGGAGTTTATCAATAGACAGTTTCAAACCTTTTTGAAGAAACATGGCATTCGATTTTTTACGACGTACAACGAAACCAAGGCATCGATTGTTGAAAGGTTTAATCGCACGCTCAAGACGAAAATGTGGAAATACTTTACAGCGAACAATACGCTCCAGTACGTGGACATTCTCCAGAAACTGGTCAAATCTTATAATCGTTCTCGACATCGTAGTATTGGTATGAGACCGGTAGATGTGAATAAAAGTAACGAGAATATTGTGTGGCAAACACTCTACGGGAAGGAGTCGAAAAAATCAATCCAGTTTAAGTTTAACATTGGGGACCAAGTCCGGATTAGCAAAGCAAAGCGAACATTTAAGAAAGGATACTTACCCAATTGGACTGAAGAAGTGTTCACGGTAACGAAACGCGTGCCTCGACGACCGCCTGTTTACAAGATTGCAGATTATGAAGGTGAAGAACTGGAAGGAACATTTTACGAGCAGGAACTTCAGAAAGTCAACAAATCAGATAGTGACTATTATAGAGTAAAAAAAGTAATGTAAAATGGTTGGGTTACCCTGACAAGTTTAATTCTTGGGTACCAGCAGAGAGTGTAAAAGATCTGAAATAAATATATTTGAAACTCATAACTTGT